AGAGAGAGAGAGAGAGAGAGAGAGCACGAACACACAAGCTGTCGATAGGTCTGCTAGCAGCAGCCGTGCTGCAGCAGAGAAAGAAATCAAGAAACAAGTCATAACAACACTGGGCACCAGGTTCTGCCAAGTGTTCAGAAATCTGTTTAGGGCCAGAGGCCTCTGGGTAGCCTAGGCTAAGATGTCACGCAAGGTGGCATGGGCGGTTCCCATGTGGAGGAGGTGAGATGGAGGTGGGCAGGCAGGAGTGGGTACAAGAGTTGGTGTGGTGGCAGAGGAAGACTTAATCAGAGTGGATTCTGGAACATTCAGGACTGCGGCACCTTGTATCTGGATAGGAATTTGGGTCTGCTCAGGAGACGACTGGTGGTCCAGTGGGGCTTAAGGACCTGATGGCGTAACCTACTTCTTCTTCCCCCACGTATGTATTTTATGTGATAAGGGCAATTTCTAGGATCTGTGGGTCTTCTGTTTTTTTTGTTTTTGTTTTTGTTTTTGTTTTTCCTTACCTTCTTCCTTGCTTTTGGCAATCCCCCCCCCCCCTTTGGAGGGTTTTGTTGTTGTTTCCCACTGTAATTTCTTCTCCCCTAGTGTCAGCTACTAAAACCTGACCAGGGTAGAGGGGAGGAGTGAACCATCCCTGGCTTCTACTTAACCTCCCACCCTTTACCCTGTTTTCTTCTGGTGGACGGAGAGGTTGGTTTTCCAGGCTGTTTGGGTGTCAGTGTCCATCTGTGCAGGTCTCATGGGGAAGATAGAGAGTGAGAAGTGACAAGAAGCAGTCAGGAGGGACTGTTTTTCCAGGCTTTCCCTTGTTAAAATGTCTAGTCCTGGGCATCTGGGGTGGTAGAGAGCATAGCATAGGGTAGGGTGTGGGCTGGGAGGAGTGGGGTGAAGCTGGTAGGTTGTCACTGCGTAGTTGAGAAAAGTGGAGAATGGTGACGCAGTCACTGTTGCATCTTGTTAGGAGCCCTGTGGGGACAGGTAGTGAGGCTCCTGGGATCTGTGAGGCCAGCAGAAGGGTTAAGAATGAGCTTAGGTGGAAAGCTAGCATTTAGAGATTAAATGTCATCCCTTTGGCGTTGGAAAGTTGTTTACCTTGCGTTCTCTGTGTCTCCATGTTGGCTCCCTTCCAGTTCACATGTGATGGCCTTCCCTGTACTGCTGCATCATTAACTAAGTGACTGAGCTGGCCTTCCATTGGCCAGGGGAGGGCTCTTACTTCAGACACTTCCTCTCATTGGTGGGAGGGCCAATGGCAGGTGAAAAGCCCTTTTTGATTGGCTGAGGACAGGGTATCAAATCTGAATTTGCATTTCACTTGCTTAAAGGGGAGGGGGAGAAGCCCAGCAGCTTCTGAAATCTCTTTTAGGGGTGTGCGTAGGTGCCTGTGTCTGCCTGTTTCAGACTGCCCAGTCGCAGCTTCTTCCTTTACCATTTTAAAATTTCAGTCACTATAAGGAATAAGAGCTTAGTGTGCCCTCCAAACTTTTATTTTATTTTATTTTGAGGGAGGAGACTGGGGAGACTGGTTTGAAGAGGATTGACTAAATTGGAAGAAAATATTGTCCTCTGCTTTGGTGTCAGAAAAGGGAATTTTCCTATCTGCCACACCTCGGTGTTGCGACAAAAATAATTCTTGGCTCCCCTGGAAACCATCGGGCAAGGTAGGGCAGAGCTGCTGCTGCTTTCACCACCACCCTGGGCTTCCTACTGAGTGGGCTGCTCTTACCTGAAGGGATCTGCACTGATGCTGTGGTCATCCTAAGGTCCTCAGATCAGCTCTGAGCCGAGCCCACTCTTAGAAGAACCTGCCATTTGGAAGCTGCTGCTACCTTGTGCTTGGAAAGGTGAGGATGGGGACTAACCTCAGGACATTGCTTGAAAAATGGCTGTTGTGAGGTTTCTGGAAAAGTGAGTGGGTAGAGGTTTGAAGGACTCCCATTAGAACGATTAGTCAGTCTAGGGAACTAAGAAAAAGAGAATAAAACTGGGGCAGCATCAACTGTCTTTTATTGGGGGAGGGAAACTGGAAAATCAGAGTTCTAGCATCCCATCTTGCCCTTGTGGTGTGTCTCATTTGTGGGAGGGGGTTTTCTGGGTCCTGTACCATGCACAGTGGCCCCACCCGTGACTGCGCATCCAGGGCATGAGCGCAGTGCGCCCTCGGCCTCTGGCCTGGGACAAACACCTCCCTGCTGTTATATAACTCAGTGTGGCCTGTGCCTTCTCAAGCCTTCTTTGCAAGTCTACCTCTCCACTCCTCAGGGTTTACAGCTGAGAGTCTGCTGAGGAACATTGGGAGGATCCTTTCCTGTATGGGCTAGCCCTTGTCAACTTAGTGACCAAATATGAGTACAGAAATGGTCTGTTGTCTCATTTGGAGACAGGGGCCCCAGAATGTCCTTCAGAGTACACTGTGTCACAGATGGTCTCTGGGGCTTGGAGGTAAGGTAGTGTCCTCTTTTCCCTTTACCCTTTTGATGTGGGGCCAGGGACTTTCTTAAGAAGACCTGACAATATTAGTATGAGAGAAGGTGTGAAAGCCTATTGGGAGGGGCTTGTCAGTTCCCCTTCCTTGTCTCTGGCTTTCCTTTCCCTGGCTAGTCTCTGGACTCCCTTTGAGGCTGCCATTTTGAAGGCATTTCTGCTGGTCTTCCATATAATGGCCGGTGCTGTTAGCTTTGCTGATCCTGCTGTGACAATTCTGAGGAGTGGGTGGGGCTAAGGACGTGGTCTATGATAGAGGGGTACGGGTACTGTGTGGATGGATGTAGTTATGATTGCTGCAGTGATGGTGGTCTGCAGGCAGAACTGCCTGATTCTACCCTGGGTTACAGCACTGGGTGGGGGTCTAAATGAAAACCTCTAGGTCAAGGTTCCATGGCCTGGTGCCCCATCTTTAGAGTGTGGGCACTTGGCTTCCATTCCCTAGTCAGCCTGAAACTCAGAGATGTTTCACAAAGAGCCCAGTGTTGGAGGAGAGTAGAGGCAGACACAGCAGCTCATCTCAGATGTGGCAGACCTGTAGTTTGTGCTCTTCAAATAGTCTCCACCTCTGGCAGTCTCCACATGGGCATGGGGGTGAGGTACACAGCAGGCAGCAGCGTTTGGTCAGATGGCCCTGCCTTTCCTTTATGCCCCCTGCCAGGGCTACAGTTCTAACTGCTGTTCTCTAGTGAGGCTCCCTGCTGCCCAACCCTTTCTAGGCCCTGCTGCGAATAGCGGCCATCTTGTCTTCCTGCTCAGAGATTTAAAATGGTTTCCTAGCATCGTCAGGTTGCAATTCCTCCCATTCAGTAGGATACTCAGGGCTGTCTGAAAATGGCCTTAGCTTTCCCAAGAAGCCTTCTTCAAGTTAAAAACAAGCCAACTCATATTTCTTTGCTTTTATTTTCTCCCTTTTTCAATACTGGTATTTTCCATGCCTGCTCTCTACCTGTTGCACTGTCTTCATGGATGTCTCCTTGAGCAAATCCCTGAACCACTGTTACTAGTCTCCTTTCTTTCATGGTATTTTATTGTATGTGCTACCATGTGTTTTCTGTCAGACTTTGTGCTTTAACAAGAAGCCTGGGGAAGGGGGAGGAAGACAACCCTATTCACAGCGTCTGTTGCCAGATGCCATGTTAGACACGTCAAGAACAGTTACTTGTTTATTTATTTATTTTTTTGTCATAACCCTTTAAGGAGAGTCCTGTGGCTGACAAGAACCCTAGATTTCAAAGTCTTTTTCCTGTATGAATCCTCCATGTTTGTAAGATGTTAGAAGGTGAACCCTCCAATGTGACTATTTTAGGAATATTGTAAGTTTCTTAACACACTATGTTAGGTCATTCAGCTAGTCCATACCAAATTTATAACATTCTCCTTTTTCTTCTTGGCCAGATTTAGTCAAGGTGATATATTTTTGTAGCTGAAATGAACAAGCCTCGGTTGCTTTGCCTGCCTACCTCTTGGAAGAACAGCCAGAGGTGGGTAGGCAGGAACACCTTCATGAGGGCAAGCCCTAGGTGTTGAGGCAGGTGCACACATGGGACTGGTCATACCAGGTCTGTACCCTAAAACTCAGCTGGGTGATTCTAGACAGGTCATTCTATTTCTCACCTAAGTGACCTTAGTTTGTAAAGTAGAGCCTTAGCAGCCTGTTCTTTAGGCAGGCCCATTGTATTGTCTGTTCCTTGTGGAATAGCAGGTGACTAGCAAATTAGGGGGAAATTATGTACTTCTGTGCTGTCACAGCAAGTACAGAGAGGGGTATCTTAGTAGTTTGGACCTCAAGCCTGCAAGGTGGTGGTGTTCCCCCAGGGATGAGTTGCCCCTTTGTTTCTGAAGCGGGAAACAAAGGGGCACTGGGGGTAGCAGAATGGGGGATTAAGCAAGGAGTGTTCCTGAGAGCCTTTTGGTGCTAGGTTTGTTTCTCTATTTGCTGAATCTCAACAGTGACTGCATACTTTCTGATGCTGTTGATCTCTGTGGGAGGAGAATCCAAGCACCCTGATGCCCCTCATCACCAATTCTGGGCCCTGGTAATGGCTGCTTTGTTGTGTGTGCCTGTGTGTGTGTTTCTTTTTTTTTTTTTTTCCTCTTTGGAAGATGACTCAGTGTATTGGGAGCCGGGAGATGGAGCTCTCAGCCGAACAACCAGAATGTTCTGACAACAGGAAAGCAGCAAAAACAGCTCATGGGGCTCTGGGCTGATTCTCAGCCTTGCGTCATTTTTAGGGAGGTCTGGGCAGTCAGAAGGCAACTGCTAGACTTCAGCGATGAGGAGACACCAGATATCTCGAAAAGGGTTCTGAGACCCTTGGATTTTAGATTCAGAGACGAGACAGCTGATTGTGTTATTCAGTGAGCTTAGAAGATAGTACTTCATTCTTCTTTCCCTCCCTGTCTCTTTCCATCCCTTCCTCCCTTGCTTCCTTCCTCTTCCTCTTCCTCCTCCTCCTTTGTTCTTTTTATTTTTCTTTCTTTTTTTTTTTTTTTTAATTCTTCTGACTGGTCCCAAATGATAGACATATTTCCAGAGCCAGATTTCTGGGTTTTCTCAGTGGGACTGTATGTGATGGGTTTTATGGTTTTGTTGAGGGTAGGAGGTGACAGCTCATTTCCAAGAGTGGGCAAGGAGATCCTCCATGACAGTGTACTATGGTCCCCTGGAGTAGGTGCTCCATTGGAGGCAGGGTGCCTGCATACCCTTTATCTTCTGAGCTTTGTGTGGATGGTGGTCCATCTCACTTGCCCTAACCTGAAGGCAGCTCCTTCCATGTGGTGCCATGTCAAAGCTTATTCTTTTCCCTTCATCTTCACTTCCTCTGAAATGAATCCCCCCTCCCCCGTCTTCCTTCTGCCCTCTTAGCCTTCATTGTGGAAGCCCAGAGTCTTAGGATTTTCCTGCAGCATTGTGTTAAAGACATGTGATCCCCTGCCCGACCCACCATGCCTCCATTGCAATTGTATCCTGGTCAAACTATTACCCTTTTCTCTCTGGCATTTTTGACACAGTTTAGGGTGAAGAACAAACAGTTTAACTTTCGGAATGAGGGACATTCTGGCCCTGAGCTTCATCCAGACTTTTTCCAGATACCACTTTTAATTCTTACATTTTCTAGCCACTGATTTTAGTGTAGACATTTGCCACCAGAGTACTTCTACCCAAGGACCACCTAGAATGACTCATTTAGGATCTCTGAGAGGTAGGTCTCTTGGACCTGAGGACCAAATAGGGGCAAGGAGATATGACTGGGATCATAGCAGAGTGGAGCAGAGCAGGCCTAGGAACTAACTGTATATGCCCACAGTGGTCTCAAAGGTGTCTGAAGCCTCTAGCTTTTGTGTCTGAGTAGAGAGCATCTTGACTAGAAAGGCTGCATAAGTGTAGGAATTGGGAATTTAATGAAAACCTGACTGCCATTTTTCAGAGAATTCTGTTGTCTATTCGTCACTGGACAAAAGTAGATAGGTACTCCTGGATCAGTTCTTGTACCCACAGGTACAGGTCCTTCTCCACACTGCTCTGCCCAGGTTTATCTTGCATCTGTCACAGTTGAGGACTATTGTTCCAGGGGCTACATATAAACTCCAATTGCAGATCATTAGTTGGTTTTGTGAGCACAGCCCAGTTGATCTACCTTCCTTTCTCTTCCCAACAGAGAACTCAAAGAGTACAGCTCCATCTGTAAGTAGGTGACAACCTCTTGGCAACTCGAGCTCAGCTGAGGATGATGTGTGTGCATCTAAGCTGGTTAGAGCGGTCAGCTTACATTTTTATGGAACAGAAAAGAGGACCTGCTTGACCACTCTGCTTGCAGTAGGTAAGTATTCATCTTCATTCCTGTGTATTTTTTTCTGCTTTCAAATATGCAAAGTGAATAAGTATCTATAGTCCTGGGCTGCTATACCTCCTTCCTCTCCTATGTACCCTCCCTTTGTCCTTCAGAAGGAAAGGTTGAAATTTAGTGTTCAGCCACCATATATCTCCCTTAGACTCCCACTTTAGAAGCCAGTCTTCTCAAAAATGGATCCAGTAGCCTTGTCCTTGGTGAAGAGTGGTAATAGCCTTATGAAGGACCCTGCTGTATGTAGCTTGGGTTGAAGCTCCTAGCTGGTCAGCTGCATGAGAATGGTCCTTGCCAGCACTTGGTGCAGATCTGCCAAGTTCTAGCTCCAAATCTCTAAGCTGGTAGGAACCTCAACCAAATATAGCCTTGAGCTAAGCAGTTCTTATCAGACGTGTCTACTCTTCCCCGTGGGAGAAGAATGCTTCTATCATAACCACAATGTGGAGAGTGAGTTATCTCCAAGGCTGGAAGGTGTATGTCCATATCAGGCTTGAGTCTGTCAAACTTACTCTTCTTTTTCCTATTTCAGATGCTGATAGATGACAGGTCATGCTGGATGAAGTTGCTGAGGTGGGATGGCCAGTAGGATGCCATGTTTAGAAAAGGAAAGACTTGGGTACTCAATATGGCCAAAGGTGGTTATGTCTTATGTCAAATATCAGCTCCTAGTGTCTCCTCTGTTTCCTGCTTGACTTGCCCTGTTCAAGAATATCTTCTGACTTTTCTTCACTCTTTTGGATCTTTTACTCTCTGTGCTTTCCTACACCCCTCTTCTTCCCTTTGATTTTTTTTTTCTTTAGGATGAATGAGGACATTCTCAGTTACTGGTCCAAAGTAACTGTTCTTTCTGTTTTGTATCTTCACCTTCATTTAGCAAGGCAGGTAGAGGAGGTTGTCCTGGGAAGGGAGGTGGGTGGTGAATAAGCTCATGGTGTTGGGTGCTGGAGCATGGTAAGTTAGATCGTCTTTTCTTTCTTTAGGTAATCTTGAGCCACCAATTTGTGTGGTTCCGTGACCTCAGGTGTGGTCTGATGCAACATGGACCTAGTCTTGTTGGTGGATTAATATCAGGCTATTGATTAGAAACTAGAAGCAACAAAGGAAAGGCTTGAGCTTGCCTCCCATGTAGCTGGAGTGTGGCTGCTCCCTGGATCTGTTCCTTGAAACTTTACCATTGAGAACCTCCAACAGTTGTCCTTTTTTCCATTCTTCCATTCCTGATTTTTCTATGAATGGAATGAGTAACTGGCGGAGTCCTGGTATAAGGTCAGCCTGCTCAACTAGCTAGGCTGTGAGATATTTGGGAGATATCTGGGTAGCACTGTAGACAGTGTGTGGCCGTACCAGGGCACCTTTGCTTCCTACAGTCAGAGAAAGGAAGCTTCTTTGCTGCTGACATCTAACCTGAGCTTATTCTGGGTTATCGTTCCCCTTTCAATCCCTAAGATCCTGGGAGCTGCCCAGGGCTCAAGCATGCTCTTTCCTGTGCAGAGTGTTTATTTGCCTTACTCTGGACACACTGAGCCTTTAAGGGGCTTAGGCTAGGTCTGGGGTCTAAAGCTTAGGCTAAGGAGTGACTGGATTCTGAATTTTTCTCTACTTGGGATTTTCCTTTGAATGAATCATTTTCTTCTTTCGGCCTTCAGTTGTCTTCAGAATATCTCCAGGCACTTGACAGGGAAAATCTTCTCCTGCTTTACCGCCAGAGCAGTATTGAGTTAAAGTGATGGTGTCCCTCAAAACTGGGAAGACAGCTCCATTGCAGACACAAACCAGAAAGCAGACAGCAGGTGCTTGCTGGGATACTCAGAATTCCCTGTCTATCATTGCTGGCAGTGTTCTTGGCCCCTAGGGCTAGTGGGAACTAACTAACAGCCAGATGTCTAGGGTCTAAGGAGAAAAGGAATAATCCTGGCTAATTCTACTGGGTACCTGTGGAATCTCAATGCCAGCTAGCCCATGCAGCTACTCTGCTGGCATGGTGTAGATGTGTTTCACCTTCCCTGCCCCTCCCACTACTGTCCAAGGAAGATTAATGAATCCCATCTCACATGTTTAATTGTCTTGTGTCTCCCTTTGGGACAAGCCTCTGAGATCCCTGGCAAGAACAGTCAATTTGGATGAGTTATCTGTTATTTCAAGGAGCTGAACCAGTTCATTTTACTGCCTCAGTGGTGTGTGAGGGTCAGCTGGGGGTGGGGGTAAAAGGGCTGAAGTTTGAATAAAGAGTTAAGTTCAGTTGGCTTTACAGCTGGGAGGTGGAAAGGAATAAACTTGGTTCTTAGAGATGAGCCCCACTGGAAGCCAGATGTGCTGCTAGCTATGCCTCAGAACCTTAGGGCTTGTGCCCTACTGTGGTGACCTCTGCTACCATTCACAGCCCTTCCTTTGCCTGATTAGGAAAGTGAGTGGAGAGCAAAGACGATCTTGGCTTTGCCCTGTGTCATACAGCTGTCTCTCTGAATTAGGGCTGTACCTCCCTGCCCATTTCCTCTTTCAGACCCTTGTCTAATGCCTTGCTCCTAGTCACTAACCTGGCTTCTGATGTGTTACCAGCCAAGCAGGCAGGACAGTTAGCATTCCTTGTAGGATCTAAGCATGCCTGACATTTTTTCCTTGGCCTCTGAGTCTGTGAGTTCTGGAAGACAACTATCATACTGAAGCTGAGATGACATGACTGACCATAGTAAAATGCACGGTGCCCTACCCATGGACCTGATTGGTCCACACCATCTGGGTTCCACTGTATCCTTTTCTTACTGGGGCTATGAATTGTTCAGTGCATATCTTGGATCTATCCACTGGCATGGGTAGATTCCCAAAGCTGCAGATTTAGAGGATATGAACTCTCACAGGTCACTTTTTTATATGTGTGGCCTGCCTGGGGGGTAAGATACTGTCCTTTTAATCAGCCTGCCATCATTTTTCTGGTCAGTGGCCATGAGGAAAGCATATACTGGGTTTACTTTCTTGCTGACTGTTTCTACCTGCTAATGGGCTGTTAAGCAAGAAAATACTCTTGAGACCCCGTGGTCTGTACAGAGCCTCCCACTGTGGAGTCATACCTATGTAGGTAGAGTACAGGAATAGGATGGAGGAAACCATGCAGGGCCATGGCTGTTTGTGATTGGATAATAGGAACAAGTCACAAGGGTGAGGGAAGACACATCCAGGGTGGAGCCAGGATGAGTCTATAGTGAAGCAATGAGATGGCATCAAATATCTTAGTCTCCATATGCCATCCATGGAAAAGAAAACTGTCTTTCCACTCTTGGTAACAGATATTATTTCCCTTTTATTGTTAGTGAAAGTGTCATTATTAAATGACTTAAGTCATAGTCACACAATCGATGAGTGATGTTGAGATTGGCTTCAGCATGTTTGATTCCAAAGCCCTTTGTTTTCTCCTCACTCTAGGGCTGAATTCAGACATTTTTGTGAATTAATATCCTCAGGAAATGATATCATCTCAAGTGAAAACAAGCATTCTAGGTCCCAGTAAGGCTGTGCACATTCATTGTTTGGAGAGGTGAAGCAAATGTTGTTTGGTATCTGTGCTGGGGGGAAACAATTCTCTTTTAGATGTTTAGGAATGTACTTGGTGCTGGATGAGACTAAGTTTCTTCTTGTGCTGTGTAAAATACACAGAAGCCATAGATAACATTGTATGTGGATGAAGAAGATGACACTCACTGAAAATATGGTGACTAATTTCTGTCATGTCAGCACTTAGGAAGCTGAAGCAGGAGACTCAAGTTCTAACCTTGCCTGAGCTATATAGTGAGACCCTGTCTTAATAGACAAGTCTTGAAGTGCCTCAGTACCCTGGGAAACTATGTTCTTTGAGTTGTTTTTTAAAAGATTAGAACTGTATGGCTGCCCTTAGCCTCTGTCTTCTTCCTTCAGCCCTCATCAGGCATCAGTTGCCATTGTTCCTCAGTCTAATCACCAAGGCTCTCTTGTCTGTGCAGCACAGGAAGCATTCAGATCAGGTCTTTGCTAAGTCACTGACTAAGTATGTGCTTGCTAACTTGAATCCCAGTCTCTTCTGGGCCTATGGTTTCTTCAGGGAATAGACAAGCCCAGGTGGGGAGAAGTCACCCAGTGTTAGATGCTTTGTGTGCTTTGTGCTCTAGGAGACCGAGGCAGGCCAGTGGTGCTGAGCCACAAGGGCTTCTGCTCCATGTGTTAAACTTCAGGATTCAGAACTTGTTTACTTGGGAAGAGGTGGCTAAGGTGAGCTAGAGTATGCAATTCCCTCCTCCTTGGCCTAACATTGCTGCTTGGGACTATTCTAAATATAGGAGCAGCCATTGGCTGAAAGTGTCAAAAGCTGCACAGGGGTAAGGGGATGTGTGGTTAAAGGTTATGGCATGTGGAAATAGGTCAGGGAAAGTGAGTTTATGCTATTTTGTGTTCATGCCCATGTCCTCAGTTTACTTGATTGTGAAACAGGTTTTGAATGAGGACCCTGTTGGAGGTTCCAATTCATCTTACCCCTAGGACAATCCTTGATGTTTGTGGAGATTTTGCTTAGCTAGAAACTCAAGGCCAGGAAAATGAACCCAAGTTGCTGAGAGAGAAAGGAGGGATCAAGAAAAGACCTAAGAGCAACCAAGTTTTGTTCCAAAGAGGAACCCTAGTACTAGTGTAAATGATGGTGATGGGCTTTAGGTAGGTAGTAGAAATGGGCTTTTGGATGGGTGGCAGTGAAGAGAAAGAGTTAAGCGAGTGAAAGTAGTTGGTGAGGACCTACCAGGTGACAGGATAAGACACTGTTCCCTCTTAGAGACAAGTGGGAGATGTGCATATGGGATCTGGCTGTAGTGCAGGACTTGGTAGGGTTCTGGATCTCTGGGCCTTCATTTCTTATTTTGCACATTGGAGAGGAGAAGGAAAACCAAGACTATCTTTATTCTCCTGCCCTCTGTTTGTCTTACTGCTTGGAGCTCTTGGGAGATCTGGCTTGCACTTGGCTAGAATACTAGGCATTCCCCATATTCCTGAAAATATTTCTTGTTAAGCCATTTTGACACCTTCATGGAGTTTTTCCTCTGAATCCAGGCCTGTTTCTACTACGTGTTGCTCACTGAGAGAGGAAGTTTCTCTATGGCAACTTTGAGATTTTTCCCATTCTGTTTGTGAAGGATGCCTGGAGCTTTCCCAGCATGTGTGTTGTGTCTCTGTTATCTGTTTGCTGACTAACATATACCACCCATAATAGTTAGATGCTAGGAATACTGTCATCAATTCAGAAGCCTTGCCTCATGATCAGTGTGGAAAAATAGGCCTCCCTTGTGTAGGAAAAGCATGTCAGAGGAGTGATGGGCCCCGGGTTTCTTTGAGTTCCAAAAACATTTCATTCTTTTAAAGGGTGCTGAGGCTGAGTATTGGTCTGTATGACCTCTTGGCTGTTCAGCCTCTAAGTGACCTTTATTTAAATAGACCCAAGGCTCTGATGAAGGGCTAGAGAAGTGCTTGTCTTCGATTATCATGAACTTAGTCCTGAAGGGTTAGACTTTCTCTGGGAGTGTTACCTTCAGAACAATTGAGGTTGCAGGGTTAGCAAACATCTGTGTCTGCTTATAAGTGTCGGTTTCTCTGTGTTCCCTGAATGCAACTGCAACTATATTTTGAGTGGGAGGGTACATGGAAGCACTTTTGATGGAGGAGGCCTTTAGCATCCTTCTATGAGTCTGTCCTGTATTAGAGCTGGTTCTTTCTAGTTACCTGGAGAATGGAAAAGAAGGTGGTTCCAACCCAAAGCTGTGAGGGAAATTCATGTAGATGTCATGAAAGGCCTGTGTGAAACTTTCCTGAGTTCTAAAGGAGTACAGAACTTCCTGAGGAGAAGACATTAGCTGCTCTTGTCAGGTCTGCCTGGGCCTGAGCCTATGGGACTTTGAGATGACTCCTGAAACTGTGTGTGGCCAATGTAGCAGGATATAAAGTGGCTCCTTGGTTCTACCTTTAGTCAACCCTGGCTGCCTTTGTGCATCCTTAAGCTGGGAGAGTGGAGGAGACAGTGTAGGCACAGAACCTGGAAGTATAACCCATTTTCCTTTTCAGAGAGAATTTCTGTCACTGAACCAATGGGAACTGTCCTTAATTCTCATACAAAAAGTAGAGAAAGTATATGCTGTCTCTCATATCTTCCAGGGAAGATCTGTTCTATTCCTGTAATTGTATCCTTACTACTCCTATCCTGGGCCATTACTCCCCATGAAGGGGACTCTTGACTATCATTGTAGTTGGGGGAAAGGTATTAGAGGAAGTGAGATCAGATGAGGTTTTCTAAGAACAAGGTCTAAGAGTTTCAGAGTAGACTCATAGCTCTGGGAGTCACAAGTATTGTTTTTGGTGCTAAAGGCTTAGGTGTGTGTTCAAGTGGACATTATATTTAGAGGAAACCCAGAGTGTGAAATAATTAGTTAATGGCAAAATGAAAGTTGTGTTAAGTATGGAAAAATCCTGTGTCCTTTTGAGTTACTACTAACTGTAGACTTAGTATCAGAAGGCTTGGTAAGACAGGCCTGTCTTAAGCTCACACTTACTTTTGATTTTCTTGTCTGTTTCCTACTCTCCTTCATTCCTTAACCATTTCTGAACACAGTCATTTCAATCTACGGAGGATTGGATCCACAGATGCTGAAGTCCTTTTGTGAAATGAGATTTTCATTTAATTTATACATATCCTCTCACAAACTTTAAATCATGCCCAGATTTCTTATAATACCTAACTCAAAGCAAATGCTGTTTTAAGAATTCTTTAGAGGATAGTGGCAAAAAGGTCTGCTTGTAAAGATGTAATTCATATTTATATATATACACGTATTCATGCACAATGATTGGAGTTGGGGGGGTGCAGAACCTGGGGAGATGGGGAGCTGACTATAGTCTGTGCAGTTACATTGCTACATTCTTGAAGTACAGGTCTTCTGGTATCAGTGAATGAGTGACTTTGATTTGGAGTATAAACAGACTGCCCACTGCAGGGACCTTTGTGTCTCTGGGGTTTGGCTATCTATGAACCCTGGCAGAGGTCAATTTGACCTATCATAGGTACCTAATTTGGGGTGGTGGTTGTTTAGGTATGCAAATCCTAAGCCTGATTAGCTGTTATTTCTTTTCAGCTCAAATTCAGATGGCCTTGGATGTCTAAGACCACATGCCATTCTGCTAGATGAGAAAGGCCAGAATGGATAGGCACAGAGAGGGAGGGACACTGCCTCTGGCCACTGGCTGCTCTCCAAAACAGGTGAACTTTGTGTTCAAAAGGAATGCATTTAATCTTTTGGGCCTAATAGAAGTTACTTGTATTTTCTCTCCTTTTTGCCCCTCCTTCCTCTTCACCCCCACCCTTGTTGCCTCCCCAGCCACCAAAGAATTTAATCTGCTGGACAACAAACAATACAGTTATAAAACTTTGAAAACAAGAGGGTGCGGCCTACCCAATGAGGAAAGGGGCATGCTGGGTAATGGCCCCAGGGAACATGCCAGGCTTCAGATTGAGCCTGTGAGAGCCCAGTTGGCTGGGTACCTGAGTGCCTGCCCTGCCCAGTGCTAAGCTCTCCCCAGTCCAGAAGGGGACTTGTAAAGGGGAGTTGTCTGTGTTCCCCTCTGATCTGATGAGAATGCACTAGACTGTGAACTTCCTCCTCTGCCTCTTCCCTTCCTCCTCCCCCTCCCACCTTCCTTCTCTTTCCACCTCCTCCCTTCCATTGCTCTTGAGACTAGCAGACAGAAGTTATAACAGAGGAGGGTTAGAATGGCAGTATAGGTGCTGCTACTAGCTGGGCCTGCGAAAGGTAAAACAGCGTTTAGGCTTGTGTTGCCTACAGGCTCAGACTTATCTCTGCTAAGCCCAGTCTCCCTCCCCAACCCTGGGCAGTGCAGCGCATATACATTGCAGCATGTCCTCCAGTCTGTGTGCTGCCAGGCGTGTGCCCAGGTACTGTGGAGAACTACCACTAAGAGATCAGTGGGTCCACCCTGGCTTCCTGGGCCTTGCCTAAGGCTGTGCTGAAGAGAATGGCTGTTTTGCCCTCCACAGAAGTGAGGCTTGTTGCAGAAAACTCCTTGGAATCAAGTGAGTAGGCACATGGTCCCCTGAGTATGACAACAGATAGGATGTTGTGTCTATTCCTTCCCTTGCTTCCTGGTAGTAGGAAGAGTTGATCAACCCTGGCTGGATAAGGTGGGGAAGTTAGACTTGGGTATCTCTGCCCTGACCTGATTAAGCTGGTATCCTTATTGAATCCTTCTCCACTGAGCCATATGGACCATTTGGGAGTGGGCTGTGTAGGTCTGGGGCCATGAACTTTGTGGTAGGCATTGGGAGACCACAGACAGGCTTATCTTTCCTCTTATGGCAAGCTTCAGCTTCCATGAAAGTACTTCTGGGCTGTGTTTCTCTCCCCTCTATGAAAGCAGAGCTCTCTACTAAAAGAGGGCACATTGCACTCTAGCCTTCACTCTGTACCTGCTTCCCTCCTTCTTCCAGAAGGCAGCCGTAGTACCATGCCCTGTCTAGCCTAGATATTGTGCCAGGACCTTAGTGACCTGTATGGAATTGTACTGAGTTTGGGAGCTCTTGAGACCCAAGACTTGTTCAGTAGCATTGAGGAAGGGACAGAAAACCTAGTTTTTAGAATTTGGTTGCCCAGGAACATATGTCTCCATGTCTCTAATTCAGTGAAGTCAAGAGAGCCAGTGCTAGCCCCCATGGGCTTCTAAAGCCTTTGCTTTTTTCCCTTGGTTACCCAAGCAGGCACTTGCAGGACACCTTGGGTCTCAAGAATGTTATGCCCACTTTGGGAATCAGTGGTCACTGATGTTAGGCCAACAAGCTCCAAATTTCCCTTTATCCATGTATCCTCAACATATATCCCTTGTTTTATCACCCTTTCCTCTGATTCATTAACCACAGCTTTTTGGCAGCATTCCCTACCTACCCTGACAGCCAAAGACAAAATGTCCTGGATGCTGGGCCTGGGCTACTGTTGAGAGTGACAGGAAGCCAGGCAGCCTGTTCAGTTCACATATGCAGTCTCTCTTGGAGGTAAGATGTTCCCTTTTCTTTGAAAAAAAACCTTCCCTAGCCACCTCTCCCAAAGATGAGTTCTTCTAACTGGTGGGAACCCCCAAATCAGTCTTCAGAGGCAGGCAAGAAAATGGATGGCAGGCTTCTGGCACCCTCCCCCATTCTGGCAGGAACTCTCATCATGCATACAACTGTGACTCAGCACCCAGTGCTGGGTCAGGAGCAAGAAGCTATTGCCTGGCTGGAACCTTCCCACGTTCTGGCGTTCTGGCATGTGAGCACGTCAGACAGCAGAGCTGGGCCAGCAGGGCGAGATTCCTAGGGCAAGTAATTTCCCCCTTCCACTGTTTTTCTTCCCACATTTTTGGGGGTTCTGTTCTGGGCTCATGATATTTAGGATTCTAAAAATCATAGTGGTCATAGACTAAAGGAGAAGTCGTCATTTTGATCTTTGTTTTTAGCCAGTGGCCCATGAAGAGTGTTTAACCTTTAGTTGTGCTGTCTGGCCTGCATCGGTTGGTTTTTCTGTGTTGATTTTGTATATCTCTAGACAGAATATTATTTTTTTCAGATTATTGTACCTCTCTTGCATGCTGTTGCTGCTTCTGGCTATTTCCTTCCTAAGTACTCTGGGGGTGTGTGTGTACATGTGTGCATGTGTGTCTGTGAGAGAGACAGAGACAGAGAATTGACCAGTTTTCCCTAGCTTTACTCTTTACAGATGAATACACTAAAGCCATTCTGAATGATAGCAGGGCCTGTTCGAAGCATGTAGGCAAGCAGGTGCTCTGATTTAACAAAAAGTGGCCTCGCTTCCACCCTTCTGGCTTCTGCCTTGCTGGAGAAGTGTCCCGTCATGGGTGGGTAGAATAGCCTCCAGAAAAAAAACAGGTACAGGGACAGATGGAGGCTGAAGAGTGGTGTCTCATACTTCTTCCCTGCCCAGTGACCTATTCAGTACTGCTAAGTGAGGCAGGGTGGTTTCTTTTCTAGACAACCCCATCAAATCCTGTAGCTTGAAGTTTACTTGAAACCATTTAATTGAGGAGGGGGGAAATCCCATTATTCTCACTGAGATCAGAGCCCTAGCGGCTCAAGGTTTTCATGGGCTGCTGTCATAGACATCCAGGTGACTCTCGGGCCTGGTGCCTGCCGGACTTTATCAAATCACCCAGCTATTCCAAACTAGTGAAGGGTCACCAGCTTATTTCAGAAAAGGAACATTGCTCAGCTGACTATGGGACTCACTTTTATGGGATGCTGAGGCCTGGGTGGAGTTGCATGGACAAAGGGTCTGAATACGCTAAGACTGCTTTTCTTTCCATTTTCTGTAGCTTAGGGTTTAAGTCACCATACTGTCAGTGGTTCTTATCCACCACAAAACAGGGCTTACACTGGAACCCTAGACCTTATTACCTTTTCCTTCACTGGTAGTTCCCCCTTGCTAGGCATAGCACCTGCCCTGGGCCTGGGCAGCATATTTCACTTGCTGAATAGGAAGAAAGGCATTAGCTTCATGCCATGCTGAGGACCAAAAGAAATAGGTATTTTCTAAATAGTAGCAAACTGGGCTAGCCTTGGAGAAAGCTTTCTAGAGCTGAGATAAAACAAGTGGGGATGGCAGCTGAGGGAGTAGGTGGAAAGTTGCCAAAGGGAGGTAACAGCACAGACCTAGACTTCTGGGAGAAAGAGTGTGTCCTGGATCCCTGCAAGATATCTCTCCTTTAACATAGTGGGGGGTGGGGTGGGGTGGACTAAGGATACTAGCAATAGGAACTTGCTAAGAAAATTTAGCTGAAATGAAAATCAGAAAAGATGAGTATTATCATATGCATATTATTATATCTCTCCCCTTCATTTACAAGGTTTTGACCCTTGTTAATAACTGCCATCTATTTACGACCTATTTAGTTCACAAGACCCTAACTTTGGCAACCAGTGTCACTGGCACTCGGGAACTCAGTGTATAGATTTGCTTGCACTTTTCTGTAGTTGAGACCCTGGAGAGCCTTCGGTTTCTCCTCTGGCTAGCCCAGTTTCTTAGAAGCTAAGCCTATCAGTGTCATTGGTAGGCTTCATTGCAATCATCTTCCCTATTGTGGGGAGGCATCTTCCCTATTGCACCAGTGGGGCAATAAAGCAAAAGCAGGTTCTCCTAGACTATCTGACCCCTTGCAGTACCAACACCATGTGCCCTCTTTACATGTGTTACAGTGAGTCTCTTCCACTCCAATCCAGATCCCCTGAGCTAAATATCCCTCCCCAGTCTAGGTAAGAGTTCAGTTCAAAAGAAAGGAGATCACAGTCAGGCTGTTCAAGACCAAGCAGCGGCAGTGGACAGAGGGACAGGAATAGACATTTTAGATCACCTGGTTCTGTGACTACAGTTTCTTATACAGACATCAGAACAATACCTGCTTCATTGAACTCTTGGAACAACTAAGTATTACAACACTGGATGTTCACATTATATGTGTTCTATTACCCTGTAGCAGCCAGGAGCCATAAAGAGAGAGAAGCTTATATCTCGAGGTCAACATACAGCTTTATTCTTTTGTCTCCCTTCTCTGAGTTGTGACAGCAGAGGAAACACTGCAAACATAATTTGTGAATCTTATTTTCCGATAAATTTAAAAAGTATACCCCATTTTTGTGTTAGAGGATTATCTATAGAATACAATAAGATACCAGCTTTTAAAGTTACTCTGGATGGGAAGGGAGAACATGTGCTCTTTTTGAATAATACTTGTGGAAGAGTTGTCCTGACACAGGTGACACACTTGTATTCAGAGGCTAACATCTCATAGGTCACTGTCCTGAAAGAGTGACATAATGTATTCACTATGCATGACAGGCATTATGCATCTTGGGAGACACTACATAAGTTCAAGACATTGCAAATATACATATGTAGAATAAACTCTGTTCTTTTGTCTTATGTATAATAATTAATTTATAATGACTAATGTGAAGTCATACAGGGAACAAGCTTTGCAGTGGTCATGTCTGCTCAACATGTTGCCGGTGGCTCTGATGCTGCTCTGAGCAGCCTTGCATGGCTGTCGTCTGCCTCTGACAGGCAAGATGATTCTCAGAGGTGAGCCTGGATCTTCTGACTGCACTTCTGCTTTCTTCAGCGAGATGCTCTTCTTCTGGAAGCTGGTTTCACATGGTGGCTTAGATTTTTCCATCTTTGTATCTAGCACCATTTGAAATCAGTGTTTTAGGAGTAAGAATTGCAGCACAGCAGAGATTAGACTACAGGCAAGCAGCTGTACACAGGACTGGCTCTCTGTCTTTCAAGAAGTCAAGGGAAGAACTGGACAGTGAAATTTGCTCAAGTCTGTTTAGTTTAGAGGCAGCAATAGTGGGGAAGTTGTGTTCAAAATAAATGCAAGGGCATGATCAGGGCAGGGAGTGATCCCCTTTATCCAGCATTCCACGGGAGTGGGAGGGTGGCTTGGGCCTGGCCCTGTACTGTCTATCGTCCAGTGATGTTCTGGGTACTGATTGTAGCAGATAAGGGGAGAGTGCTCTGCACATGGAGGACTGCTTCATCCGCATCAGTACTGCCTGCCTATACCTGGAAGATGTCTGGAGTGCTCAGTCGTGGTTGCGGCACAGCTGAAGTCAGACTTGCCATTTGTCTGCCTTGAGGTTCAGACCTGAAGACCACCACTGGCCCATCTCTTACACAGGCTGACCGATTTCTCCTGGTGTTCAGAGTCTGTTTTTGTCTAGCACCATTTGAAATCGGTTATGATGTAGGGGGACGAGCACCAGCCTCAGAGCCTCGTGGTGTGTGGTCGGCAGCAGCCTGTCATTGCCTACACAGGCAGAGCAGAGAAGGAAGATCACAGTTTCCTGACTTCTTTAATACATGTGTGTGGTAGCAGAACTTAGAGATAATGGGTTTTATAATTAAATTGTTGTAATTTTATCTGATATCCTCAGTTGCAGTTTCTTACATGTACTACTGTTAACGAATTGTATAAACCATTTTGCTGCTGAACTGTGTTTCTGTTCATGCATCCCGGCTTTAATAAACAATTTGCTATATTCAATTTATCATGTCTGTGTTTTTATCTATTTTCCATTCATAATTCTATGGCAATGAGAAGTGGGCCCTGGGAAGTTAATTTGCTGTGCCAATCATAAGGAATTGGAAGTAGGTTGCTTCAGACAAACATTAAAAATGAAGGTCATTAAGACAGGAATGAAATTCTAAAAATGAAAGATTATCAGAAACAGAAGATTGAAGCTCTAGGCTGAGGGATGTTACTAAATAGGAAAACTATTCTTGGTTCCAAGGAAACTGTGGACTCTGACTCTCCTCCTGTCAGTGTTGCTGCAGGGAACTTAACTGAAGTGTCATGTGGCCCTTAAAGGGAAGTGGGCTAATTTCAATTGCATTTGTAACAGATGGAGTTCTACTTTCAGCTGATGGTTTATTTCAACCCTTGAATAGGCGGTGAGACAATTTTATAAAAGTGTTCAGAGATTTGACAGTATTGAGGGGCAGGGTTCATGCTTGGAGAACTTCAGGAAGAAAGCAGGTGGCCCCTTCCATAGAAGTTGCATAGCTAACTGAACTGTCTGCAGTATAATCATTTCAAGCCAGTGGGTTTCAATAACTGGTGGCGAATCAGCTGCCCTGGAAGCCTTTTCTGAGCCCACATCCCAGTAGTCTCCCCCAGATGGCTGCCTTGCCTATTGTGCTCAAAGTGGGAGGTGAATGAAGCATTCGCTGGAAAGACTTCCCAGTGACTATGATACATCCTGCAGCTGCAGAGCTATTTCAAGCTTTTGATGGAATGTTCTGAGTCTCGGGATGCGGTGGTGGGAATGGCTAAGTCCCTCAGCTGTATTGTTTAATTTGCCCCACTAACGTAGGAGACTGCAGCTCCTAAGTATGACAGTTTGGGTTATTAACTACACATTGGTTTTTTTTTTTTTTTTTTTTTTTTTTTTTTTTTTCCCCCTGTCCAAAGCTCCCAATTAATTTATATTGGAAAATATAATTAAAATACCCCCAGGCTATGATTCTAATTCTTAAATGAGTTAAGGGAGAAGGTAGAATTTATTATCAAAGTACAAAACAATGATTTAAGATTTTTTTCTATATAAGAAAATTTATAACATCCTCACTGAATGCTTAAACAGCCCATATCCTGAAGTTCGGAGGAGTAAAATGCAACTGGAACATCTCTCAAACACTTATTTTTTTTTATCTGAATGCCATTAACATAAAAATTGTCACTCTGGGGTAGTTTTTCATAATTGTTAATGCAGAATATTTTTTGGCAATACCCTCCTGAGTCAGACTTATGAATCCATGCTGTCAACCCAGGTAGAAAGTCTCTTGTTGAAGTATTACTAAGTTAAGCCTTACCAGATTTTTTAGAAGTGAATATAGTGTACTTTTGTTAACTCCCGAGGAAGAAAAATCTGCGGTTTAGTAGATCAAATAAATTAAGTCTGAATCCTAGTGTCTTTAAGAAGTTGGCCCAGACCTTCTGTTTGGAAGCTGGCATATAGTCTCATGAATAGCTAGCACACTGTTGTGTACATACTTTTTAGGGAAGCCTAAGATAGTACCTTTAATATGTTATTTCTGGGGCACATTCTAACCCAGTAGCATGTTGCCATAGCTTTGGTCACTGAAAGAGTGATCTTCCGGTCCCAGCCCTTTAAGGAAGTACTATTTATCTGTGCTCAGATTGGGGCTCAGATGAGTATAGTGTACAGCCATTGTCCTATTTCTGAAAAGGCCATACTATTTGGTCATAGTTCTTTGCTTCCAGTTTTTATGTCCATGCATAAATTTCCTGTGACTGCAACAAATTAGCACAGATGTGATGATGTCTCAACTGAAGTCAAGGTACTGTCAGACACAAATCCTTCAGAAATATGAAAGAAAAATAGGTCTCTTGCCTTTCTTTGTCTACAAACAGGCTATTCTTTGGCTTGTCCTCTTCAAGCTTCCAGGGTCTGCAGGATCACACTTTGCTTCATTGGTTACACTGTCTTCGATGGTTAGTGTTCACCTTTTAACAAGATCAGGATGTGATTAACCTTCGCATCAGAATTTGAGAAGCCTATTGCTGTGGGAGCTTACAGAAGGAATTCTTAATGGTTGAAGCTCACCTCAAGTACAGATTTAATATTTTTTGAGATGTTGCAGGTGGAGGTAGGTAATCAGATGGCTTAATTTTTCCCAAGTACCATACTTAATGTGTTCACCTAATTCCCTGAATTCCCAGTGAAGCCACAAGCTCCAAACACCAGGACATCAGAGCTCCTCTTTCTAGTGATTCAAAACAGGGCTTAGGATTACATTGCACAACAACATTCAGAGCTAAAATTTTGTCTGCTATTATTCACATCAGTCTTACTACCGGTCTCCTGTTTCATTGGTTTTTGTCCAGTCATGCCAGGAATCAAGGTGGGTTGCTTTCCAGCATCATCTGTGTGGCAGTGGGTTCACCTGCTATTCCCCCAGTATTATATTTTCCCCATATTAAGAAGTGAGGAACAAAGACATTGTTACTCCCCCCCCCAAAAAAAAAACAGAAGAGAGCTAGTGTTTTACCTGCTCTAAAATAAAATTAATGTGTCTGGAATTCCAGCAATGACAACCTCACAGAGAAGGGGCAGAGGACTGTCAAATACTCCAACATTCCATAAGAGGACAGCAGTGCTATGGTCTCAAAGGTTGACAGCTTATCTAGAGAAACCTCTGAATGAACCCAGAGAGCCAAAAACATAGGGGAAAATATTTGTGTATCAGATTCACTCAATTCTGAATCACTTCTAAAAGTTAATAGACTGTTAAATTCTGCTCTTAAGGTGAATTGTTAAAATATGCTATATCTAGTCTTGATTAAAATGTTAACTGTCTGGTATCACAAACTTCAGAACACTGTAACTCATTTCCCTAAAACCTTAAAATTACTTTAAGTTGCAAATTTAAATTCCTTTTGCCTCCAGGTCTTTCTATCATAATTCAGACAATTTGTTGTTAGTTACTATAAAAGTTCTCTCTATATTTTATGCTACTTTAAAAATATGCTAGAGTTTCATGTTAATTGTCTAAGATGCCTTGGTTAATGTAATTTTCATTCTGTGTTGATACTATTCATAAATATTGCTATCATTTTAAAACTACAGTTTATCATTGCTTATTTTGATAGATATCAGGACCTCTAAGCAAACAAGGTTATGTTAAAGTGTTAATGACTCTTTTTTTTTTCCCAGTGCTGAGGATTGAATCCAGGATCTTTCGAATGATGTGCAAACCTTTCTGATGAACTACAACATCAACCCATAAATAGCATTATTAAAGTCTTTGAAAATTTTTAATAGGTAGAATTAAACTGTGATTTTCTTTAAGGTTTTACCCTCTTTATAAGTTTATATGGAGAGTTGTCTGCCAGGCCTGAAGGTCACTAATGTGGGGTTCTCAGTCCCAATTGGCAAATTAAAACCACCAGAGAAATTAAAACCTCTTGTGTTCAGGCCACATCTCAAATTAATAATATGGGAGCCCACTGGGGTAGTACTCAAGCATCAATAATGCTTCCTGGGGGAGGCTAGTGGACAGCCTTAGGAGAGAAACACTGAGTCTTGTCTTAGTCTGGCTTACTTCTCATATCTGCAAAGGCAGAAAGAACTATGTTTGCATAAAGAGAACCAAATCCTATTAGTTACACAGGTCAAGTTTTTACTTTAATTGCTAGGCCTTGTTTTTTTGAGTCCTCTGAATGCATTAAAGTGATATTAAAGTTACATCTCCTATTAGACACGAATATATAGACTCTTAAATGTGGCTAACTTAAGGCAATAAAGGGTTAAGAGCCCAAGGAGTCAGAGCTTCATAGGACAGGCAGGATACTCATTGGCCTTGGAGATACATGGATCTGGAGAGAATAAGGCATTTCGGGTAACATAGGGTAGGAGTGTGGGAGACAGAGACATGAGCTTAATGCACAGCCATTTCATGCAATGAAAGTGTGAGGTATAGGGAGAAGAGTTGGAAATGCAGAAGGTCTGATATCATACTTAAAATATGTCCTTCTTTCTGCAGGTAACATGCCACTGAACACTTTGTTCAGGACACAGGCACTCAGGGCTGTGTTGAAATCCTTGGTAAGCTGGAGGGACTGGGATGTGAGGAGATGGTCAGAGGTTAAGACAGAGATTGCAGTTTGAAACAGATTTGATTTACACTAGAAACACACACACACACACATTACCATAAATGAAGCTCCTGCAAATATATAATTTTACTTTTGCCAGACTTGAAGAGCCAGTTTTCAAAAAATGGAACAGTAATGACTTCCACACATGGGACTTCTCATCGTGTTGTAGATACAGTTCTGTAGTTAAAAGAACATTTTAAGTTCAAATATGCCTCTTTCTCTATCATTTAGACAATCTTAAAAACAAAAAACCACTTTCCCTCATATATTTATATAACTTATAAATTATTTGGTGAAAACAAAAATACAGATTTATACTTCTCAAGTAAAATACTAATTTGAGGCAGACCATTCTATAAAGGTAAATTCATTTAAAAACTAAAGTATTTGGTTAAAATGTTTTAAATTAAGTTTAAAAACAGTAAAGCCATTTTTTTGTTTTGTTTTTTCAACAGTTAGTTTCATTTTTATTAAGACTATTTGACAATTACTGTAACTTAAAATTCATTATCAGAGGTACAGAAAACATTAATAAGCAGTTAAATACTGCAGTGGATAGTTTCTGGACCATGCATTTAGAAATCCATGTTTAATGGTCTCTAGGGTCTGTTTTACCCTGAGGGTTCCCTGGCTAGTAAAGCCATTTTTTACTTTTAAACAATTAGTAAATTCTTTTTTTAACCTGCTATCTTTTTGTCTTTTTTTTTTTTGGTATCAGGCCTAGGTACAATTGCTATGTTTTTAAAGTATGTGAAAATGAGTACAGACTTCAATTTTTCTTTTTCTTTTTTTTTTTTTTTTGGTTTTTCGAGACAGGGTTTCTCTGTGTAGCTTTGGAGCCTATCTTGGCACTCGCTCTGGAGACCAGGCTGGCCTCGAACTCACAGAGATCCGCCTGGCTCTGGCTCTGCCTCTGCCTCCGGAGTGCTGGGATTAAAGGCGTGCACCACCAACGCCCGGCCAGACTTCAATTTTTCTTAATCCAGACTTTCTGGGTGGTTTGTTTTACTATTCAAACATTATCTTCCCAAAGTATCTGCTTGGAGGGCACAAGAGGAGGGTCACTCAGAGTGACTGCAGGTGTTTATACTCAAGACAGGGTTCACCCTCAACTCAGTTTCAATTTGTATTCACAGTCTTCCCAAGGTGATGCTGCTGTGGCCACTCTATGATACTAAATGTAAATGTTTAAAGCACACCTGAGAAAAGACAGTTAATCAGAAGTGGCAGTTTCTTCTCTCAGCTCTTGGCCGGGTGGAGGCTGACCACTGCTCCATTTGAGAATGACCTACTCAGAGCTCCATCAGTGCAACTGACAGCAAGAGTTAAGGAAAAGGCTTCCTCTGGCAAAGGCAATGTGCAGTGTCTATTTTCCACACTCTTGAGGTTATTTGATGAGTTTATTCCTTACAAGCAGCTTAGATGGCTTGTTGAAAGACTTACACGTCTAATGGAAGAAAGTCATGAATAGCCCAGAACTTCAGAGTGGGTGACTCAACATCTGGAATTTATTTAAGAAAAAAGGCTACAGCTTTCACTTTATATAGATTCTTGTTATGGGTGTCATGGCCATGCCTTTTACAGAAGCATGCAACTAGCTGTGAAATCTTAGTAGTGTTTCTTTGGCTGGATTATTGATGTTCAGAAAAGTTAAAACAAATGCCAGACATCAAACTTGTAATTCATTTAAATCACTGAAGTTGTCAGGGAAAAGTAGAATTTTACTCTACTAACATTTGCATAGTTTTGTGCTATTAATAATATTCTTAGTTAAAGATTTCTAAATTGTTTACATTCCCAGTTTTTAGTGTTCTGGTTTAATGGATCAGAGCTGAAGGGGTATGTGCATTTATGAAAGCTTTTTATAATGAACCATTTAAAAATATATTTTAGAATTGTCAAAAAGAGAAATCTTAAGAATTAACATTAAAAAGACTTCAAAATCACCCTCTTTTTAAAACAAAGTGTAATTTTTTTAAGACAAGGTCTTGCTATGTAGCCAGGCTAACTTCACCCTCAACATTCTCCTACCTCTGAACTATAGGTGTGTGCCACCATGTTAGGCTGAAATGTAATTTCATTATAAATTATATTACTCTGAGTTATAACATTATTATGAAAGTAATAATTTCCCAACTTCAATGGTTCAGGATATGGTATTGACATGCTATGAAATATAAATGTAGTTAAAGGAAACCAGACACTTTTTCTATTCAGAATTCATATACATTTTAAAGACATGTCAATGGCAGGCAGCTATATTCAAGCCACTTTAAAATGTGAGCACTGTGACCCAGTAATTGCATGCATAACAGTGAAAACAGTGACATACATTTTAGAGGCAGAAGATAAAACACTTCTTGGGGTTCGTGGCAATGATGAGGATTTCCGTGTTCGTATGGTTGAGGTTGACTTTTTCTTGTGACTTCTATGCTTACTTTTATTCCTACAAGATAAGGTATAAGGGCAACATCAAAACAAATATAACTACATGCAGAAATTAAGTTCCACAAACCTACTTTGAAAATAGGCATTTTTTTTTTCTTGTAATGGGAATGGAATCCATTTCCTTATACATACTAGGTAAGTACTCTACAACTGAGCTGTATTTTTCCAGCCCCAAGGTAGACAATTTAAAAAAATACTTTTTATTGTATTGTCTGTGAACTAGAAAATATTTCAAATGTTCATGTCTCACCCCCCAAAACAAAAAACAAAAAAACAAAAAACAACCCTCTTCTATCCTTGTGTTTTTGATCCCCTCTAAAACAAGAAGTAAAGCTACTGTGTGCTTAATATTTGTTTCAAATTAGGCCAGGGAGGCAAGCAGGGTTCTTTAATCTCAGAGTTTTGTCCCTAATGAGGTCTGAGAGACACAGTGATTCTAAAAGTCTATACTGTGGCCATTCATGTTTGAGTAGAGACAGCTGCACTCTAGCCCCTGCCTTAGGAAACTGACTGCAACAATTTAACCCAAAACCAAGAGCAACCAGTTATTTACCAGTGTGTATGCATTATTTAGGGATGCCCACCTAGTATAAAAGCCAGCAATAATTACTTGTTCCTCTCTGTGAGGTAGGTTGTCATTTTGATCCTGTCACTATATTCATGCTGTGGTAAGTGACCTAATTATTTAGCTCATCACTGAATTATCTGAGAAGTGCTGTATTTTTTTGTAGTCAATTTTATATAGTGGATTTTTTTCCTTAACTCAAAATTTAAAAAGAAACCCAGAATTCAAAAAAAGGTTAAAAAATAAAACAGAAAAAGAAAAAAAGCAGTGATCTTGCATAGGTGCATAGCTTGGGTCCTAGCCCTCATACAAGGTAGGTCACAGTCACATGTAACCAGCTCTAGGAGATCCCAGGCCTGTGGCTTCCACAGGCACCTGTATTCACATGCACATAACCCATTCCTCAGACACAGACACAGACACATAAAGATAAAATAAATCTTTCTTTCAAAGCAATGGTAAGTTTGGAGTTGCATTTTATTTACTTATTTTTTAAGAAATATATTTAAATGAGAAAAATTGAAACTGAGGTGGAGTTCAGCCAGGGCCACCTAGTAAGGCTACCTAAAAACTAAAGGGAAAAAGAAGTCCTCCTCTATTTGTGCTACAATGTCTATCTGTGTGGCTAGGAGTCAGGGAAGAACCTTTCCCTAGGCCATGAAATCTTAAGAACAAGATGCACAGAAGCTCACGGAAAGGGTATTTTACTGAACAAAGCTGGTATCTCGGATTACAGGGTGGAGGAAAAACAAAACATGCCAACTAGGAGAGGTCTGTCCAGTTATGAAAGTTATACTTTCTAGTCTCCTGGGACAGCTGAGGCTAAAACTAACTAGGAGCTAACTGGCTAAGCTTCATCTTGGGTTCTCCTGCCTCAGCTTCCTGTGTACTGGTATTACAGGTGTGTACCACCATACCTGGCATTTAAAAGAACATGTTAAAATTTGGATTAAACTTCATTTTAATCCAAAAATAGACTTGTGGATGGTGTCAGAAAGCTTAAGGTTAAACAACTATAATTTATTTTGGTTTGTTTTTTGAGACAGTTTCTCAGTGTATCCCTGGTTGTTCTGGAACTTGTCTGGCTCTGAACTCAGAAATCTGCCTGCCAAGTGCTAGGATTAAAGGTGTGCATCACCACCACCCAACACAACTATACTTTTTCAAAAGCTGAGGCTATATTGTTTTCTATAATATGCCAAATATATTTTATTCAGAGAAACAGGTAAATACCTTTATGGAATTAGTTTTAAGTTGGAGTTAAGTACATTTGTAAAATATAAACTATACTTCTAGGGTTAGGGTTAGGCTTTTCTTCCCCTGCTTGCACTTGGATTGAACTGGTTCTATTGACTGTTTCCCTTCAGTCTCTGAAACACCTTTATGTTTAGGTTTTAGCTGTTTCAGAAGTAGAGGCTAGGCTGGGTCATCACTGTTTAAGACTCAAAGTCCTGTCTGTGTACAGTGTGTTGAACTTGGGAAAATAATATAAGAAAACATCAATAATTTGGTGAAGAGGACAGGAATCTAAGCTTCCTCTTTTTATCTTTCCTGCCAATATATCTGAACTCATGGAACTTAATATACACCAGCTGCTTTTCAAAACAACATCACTTATTGGCCCCATACATTTCCCATCCCTCTGTATCCACCCTCTGCCCTTGCAACCTCCCCTCAAAATAAGACGAAAAAGGGGGGAGATCTCATCATGGAAGCTGTAATGTAACAGTTATTCACTCTGTAAACATTTTATCTATATACCTTTGTGTGCAGCAGCCCAGGCCCAACTTTACTATGGCCCTGGGTGACAATGAAACCACCCCTCATCCTGCTGCTCAGAGCTCTTTTAAAGTGACAAGAAAAAAATGAAATCACCTAAATTCTATCAGAAACTTCAAGGCACTAATCTGATCCATGTCCTAAATTTTATTCCAAATCTTACATTATATGAAATTTGCTATGCCTAATTTTGATACTTTGAATCCCTATTTTCACCAATGGGACATACCACACTCTGAATGCCCCTGTCTCTTCTAAATCCTTATTTCTTTTGATATATATATATGTGTATATATATATATATATATATATATATATATCATTTTTATATAGGCAGAACGAAGATACAAGATAATAGAGCACCCTTTGAATTTTAGCCCTTCAGCTACTAAGTCATTCATTAGTGTATGATGCAAAAAAAAATTAGGAGAACAGGAGATGTCAAATCTCCCTGGTTAACATTAATAAATAACGCTATAAATAAATGAGGCCCCTCATAGCTTATTACCACTAGCCAAGTTAGACAAATGTAAGCTTTTAACATAAAAATTTCAGTGACTTTAAAGTGAAAATATCACACTGAAATATTTCAAATTTAATTTTGGCCACTTTTGAACTTAGGATTTACCTAGAGAAGGGAAAACTTCATAATGACTTTGCTTCACTAAACAACTTAAACTTCAAATTTCATAAAAAAAAACTTTCTATGCTAAAAAATCAACTTCACACAGATCCTTATGTTGCAAAGATGTTAAAAGTAGCTGACCATGTTTTAGCAAAGAAATGCAATTTGTAGGGCATATTACTGCAGGCATACTTTAAAAAGGAGGGTGCTCAAGGCAAAGAACAAACTAGTTGCACAAAGGCATATTGAAGATGATTAACTTAGAATACTTACCCTTTCTTCCTGTACTCAAGATATCTGAGTATGATGAGAATAATTACAACAACTCCAACAACTACAAGAAAAGGAAAATAAATAGCATGTAACTCTGAGAATGATTGCCATCTAAGCAGAAGAAATAAATCAGTTATATTTCAGTGGTAACCAGTTATGCATTTAGATTCCATCTGCATTCTTTTTTCCTGATTTTTTAATTTAAATTAAAAACAATCTTATTTTACATACCAATTCCACTCTCCCTCCTGTCCTCCCCTTCCCCCCACCATCTCCCCATCCCACCCACCCCCATTCACTGCTCAGAGAGGGTGAGGCCTCCCATGGAGGATCATCAAAGTGTGTCATATCATTTGGGGCAGGACCTAGGCCCTCCCCCATGTATCTAGGCTGAGAGAGTAGGCCTCCTTAGAGAATGGGCTCTAAAAAGCCTGTTCATGCACTAGGGATAAAATAATGGTTCCACTGCCAGCAGCCCCAAAGACTGCCCAAGGTCCCCAACTGACATCCATGTTTGGGGACCTGGTTCAGCCCTATGCTGGTTCCCCAACTGTCAGTTGGGAGTCTGCACTCTTTGTTCTCTAAATCCAATTCGCCGGAATCACAGTCCTGGCTTGTTTTGTTTTGTTTTGTTTTGATTTGATTTTTCAATACAGGATTTCTCTGTGTAGCTTTGGAGCCTATCCTGGCACTCGCTCTGGAGACCAGGCTGGCCTCGAACTCACAGAGATCTGCCTGCCTCTGCCTCCTGAGTGCTGGGATTAAAGGCATGTGCCACCAACACCTGGCCTGGCTGAATTTTTAAAAATTATCAAAAAGCGTACTTAGGATGAACATTCATAGTATGTCATCTTAAGAAAGTATGCATTATTATAGGCTACTTCTAAATAGACATATAAAATAGGAAATAATATAAATTAGCACAGGGTAATATATAAAAGACCAGATTTTTCTAAGTTTGTCTATCTCAAGTTTAAAAAAAATTTAAATGTACTGCTTTATAGTAACAATTGGATTTAAGCAGTGAAAAATTTGGGTACTTACTTGAAGTAATAACAATCAGAGCAATAATCCATGCATCTAAGAAACAAAAGAAGCCAAGCATTTAGAATTCCTAAATTAATTCAGCTAATCCACACTTAAGAGAAAAATAAAAGTTCATTTATCTACTTTGAACAAAATCATTAATATATCCAAGTCATTTTGATCAAAGAACATTTGTAAGCCCATTTCCAGGTTTGGGGTCCAAGTTGTGAATTTAAATTTTCAGTGTTTTTGTTTTTCTTACCCCATCAGGTTATTTAGTAAAGATTATTATTAGAATTAGAATTCACTAAATAGAGGAAAATCATTACACAATATACTATCTTTTTATATTTGGTTTAGTTCAGTATGCATTCTACAATTTGTTATAATTTGTAAAAGAAATCCATTTCCCCAAAAAGTATGTAGAATTTCATAATAAGTTTCAATGAATTAATTAAACAAATACTGTTTGTAGTTCTTACAAATACCCTACCTTATCAGGGCCCTTCCTGTCTTCCTTATGCCCTCATAACCACCCCATTAACAAAGGCATACTCTTTCTTAAATACCAAAGACCTTCCCTTCTCAAAGTGTAACCTAAGAGGAGGGAAATACAGTTTAGTAACAGAACACTTATGTGACATGCTTTTGAAATACCAGCATACATTGATGAGTTATGCAGAGGAATTTAAATGAGCATAGTTGACTAACTGGGTGTTCTGGTTTTCTTTCTATTGATTAGATAAAAATACTCTGGCCAAAAGGGGAGGAAATAATTTGTCTGGCTTATACTTCACTGAGGTAAGTCAGGGCAGGAACTCAAGGTCAAACTTGAAGACAGGCTTGCCAGCTATTCCATTCAGCATTACATTTAGGCAGGGAAATCACTAACCACTAAAGGAATACAGGAGAAACCATGAAGGAAAGCTATTGCTAGATTGATAGCAGGTTTATGCTTAGCTAGCTTTCTTATATAGGCAGAACTACCTATCCACAGTGGGCTAAAACTCTCCTACATAAATCAACAATGAAGACAATCCCCTTTCCCCAAGCCTACAAACCAATCTGATCTGGGCAATCCCTAAAATGACCCTGCTTTCTCAGGTGACTCTAGGGTGTATCAAATTAATAGTCAATGCTAACTAGGTCTACAGAGAACATTCTTAAATTTTGGAAGTATTTATGTCTAATAATGTATATGCTTCTAAAGTTTCATACTTCTCATTAAGTTGCTGTCAGTCAGAGCATAAAATGTTAGTCTTAATTCTGCTCTTCTTATTTCACACACACTTATCACATGTTCAGCAATTTAAGAAGGCACTGAATTTATTGGCAGTGACCACAGAATTTGAAGTTAAATCATATATAGACAGTTCAGAAACTGCGATGGTTTGACTGAATGATTTTTATTTTACATTGGTAAGACACTCATGCATGTTCAGCAGAAACCAGTGCTGAACTTTGATTTTGGACCTTTTCCTGACTTAGCAATGTGACATGGGACTTTACTGTAGATCTTGGGCAGCAGTGGAAAACCACAGTTCCTACCGAATCAGGATAACATGAGTGAAACTCAAACTTTGACCATGTGACCACCTCTGATAATCTTTAGTAAATATGGTAGGTATATTTTCAATTTGCCATGGGTTTATCAGACCCACCCAATCTCTCCATACATATAGAGACACAAATGTATAAAAATATAAGCCAAATGTGATTTTTTTAAAAATCATTACTAATCTAGTCTAATAAATAAAACAGCAGATTTTTGTCTTGCTTATTATGTCTTTAAATTTCACTGAATTTTAACTGTTGTAACTATACATGACTTAGTTTAATGTACATTGTATAAAATGAGGCCTACATAAATTGTGCTAAACCAATCTTTCACATAAAAAAAGTTAATCCAACTTTAAGGTCTGTGTAGATCAGATATAAATAGGAAGAGAATTACATAGAAGGCAAGTTGTGATTTATGTACTTTAACCTCAGCCAACTAACTTTCCCTTCTATAAAACTGTACTTACCTACATATCACTCAATATAGTAGTACTTACATTTGTCATGGTGTCAGCCCAAAGTAAGTAATCCTAAATGCCAACTATTAGTACTGACAAAATACACTTCTTCTTAACTGCCAGTAACTGAAATGTATGATATTTCCATGTAAAGTGTTAAGGTCTCATACATACTTCAGGGATATATATAACTGAAATAATAACCTAATTCTTGGCCAAATATTCCTTCACGAGTACTAGGATATCCTAGGGGGGAAAAAAAAGAAAGATGGGTTCAGTAAAACAGAGAAACAGAGAAATAAAAAAATAAATAAAAATAAAAATCCTTTAAATTCTCAACTTTAATTTTCACCAATGTATAAAAACTCCTAAACTTTCATTTTCCTTAAAAACCCCACTAATATTTTTAAATAGTGTCATAAAATATTAGCTTTACATTTTCACCATTAGCTTTCTTCCTGTCTACTAATATTCCCTCTAGTAATATTATGTAGTAGCATATAAATTTCCTTTTTAGTACAGTCTCAGAATTAGTCTATAAATTTCATGAGATTCTAATTAAAATTAAACATACTGAATTGGCTGAATAAATACTTCAGCTATCAACCTGGAATGGAAGTAAACTTTCTCAACAAAATAAATCCCATATGAAAATAACCCACAGTTAATATTATCAATAATGAAAGACTGCAAACTTTCCTTCTAAAACCAGGAACAAGATTGGGTACCCAGGTTTGCCACTTATAGTCAACATGGTATTGGAATAGGTAAGTAAAACAAAGAAAATGAATACAAATTAGGACGACATCAAGATATATGTTTGAAACTGGAGTGGTCTTTGTTTTCTTGTGCCGTCGGGGGTTGAACCCAGGCCTAAACGTGAGAGGCTATCTGTCACTCCACTACCACTTTGCTATAGCCTCAGCCACAAGATGACATGCCCTTATGTAGACAAGTCTTCCACAAAACGCTAAGTAGAACTAATTAATGAGTTACACAGAGTTTCGGGATACAAAATCAATACATAAAGAACAATGAATACTTTAAAAGGGAAATTATGACAACTCTACTTGCAATAGCATAAAAATGGTAAAATACTAAGAATAACCCCAAGGCAGTAAAAGATTTACACAGGGAAATCTATAAAACTTTGTTGCTATAAATGATTCAAGAGACGAATACATGGAAATACATGGTTGTGGTTTGCACACAAAATATCTCCCAAAGGCTCATGTGTTGAAGACTTTGTATCAATTGATGGGCCCAGTCTTGTAAAATGGTGGAATTTTGAGGGCTGATTAATTTTATGGACTCCATTGATAGACATGTAACTTGATGGCAGCATTAGTAAGTGGTAGCAGCTAGGGCATGGGCCCTGCTGCAGGATATAGGCATGGGTCTGAAGGTTATACATGGTCTGTTTCTCTCTGATGTCTAGCTGTGAAAAGGTAAGTAGACTCTTCTGTCACAAACACGCCCCTCCATGGTGTTCTGCTTCACCCTAAGTCAGCAGCAGTCGTGTTAGCAGAGTACAGAACAAAACCTCTTTTTTTTTTTTTTTTTTTTTTTTTTTTTTTTTTTTTTTTT